AATTGATATGGAACCTGCTGGATCTGCATCGAATGCTTTGAAACCTCTTCCCAGAGGGCAGCATGGAGAACAGTCCATGGTGGGAGTGTGAGGAGTCATTTATGATGTTTTAGACTCGGGACATGCAGCGCTGGGATGAAATGTCTTTAATGGAGGGGAGAGGAGCCCCCATGATCCTCTCTGCTGTTCTCACCTTCTTTCAGTCTAAGGCACTGCAGCCTCCACACCACACAGTGAGACAGCTGGTCAGAATGCTCTCTATGGTGCTTCTGTAGAAGGTGGTGAGGATGGGTAGGGGCAGGTGGGCTCTCCTCATCCTCCGCAAGAAGTACATGCGCTTTTTGCCCTTTTGAGGTGGTGTTTACATTCCAGGTGAGGGTGTCTGTGATGTGCACCCCCAGGAATTTGGTGATGCTGACCACCTCCACAGCTGAGGAGCTGATGAGCAGTGGAGCATGGTTAGGCCGGTTCTTCCTGAAGTCCAAGATGAACTCCTTCGTCTTCTTCACATTCAAGATCAGGCTGGGGAGAGCCAAGATGGCGGCTAGCGGTTAGACGGTGTTCGGAACTTTCCTCCAACTTTTCCTCTTTTCCCGTCAGAACAGATATATTTGTAATGTCTTCAACCTCAACAACAAAACGCAAAACCGAAGGTCATCTGGTGCTTACTCCTACGAAGTCACCATCTACCAAGAAAGGTAAAATGGAGCAAGCCACAGCAGATAACGTGATTGCGGTGCTGAAGCTAGCTATTGAGGAGCAAGGGACATCTATTGGAAAATCTATCGATGACTCTTCTATTAATTTTCTCTCCGCTGACATACAAGATATTAAAAACACTCTGCAAACCATGGTCAGCCGAGTCAGCAAAGCTGAAGAAAAGATTCAAGCGTTGGAAAACAAAGTGCTGGAGCTCACACGTGAGAAGAAGCGGTGGAATCTGTGTCTCCGCGGCATGCCTGAAGAAGAGACGGAGGATGCTCGGCTCAAGGTGGTGGAGGTGTGTCAGAATATTATTCCAAACTACAAAGAGAAGCTTCCGGAGGTGATTGATTCAGTACATCGGCTAGGCAGAAAACATCCAACCAAACCACAACCTCGAGATATCATCCTCCAGTTTTCTATGAAGCATTTTCGAAACATGATCTGGAAAATGGCAAAGAACTCTGGCTATCTGAAGGAAAGAAATCTCCTGTTCAAAGAAGACCTCTCTGTGGAAGACCATGAGAAACGGAGCCGTGTTGCCAATAATCCAACAAGCCTGAAAGGATAAGAAGATCACATACTTTGTAGGAGGACGTGCTTTTGTGGACCGCAAGGAAATTGAATAACTGTTTCGTTGGTTTCCATTCAACTTATTATGGAGGAAGAGTTCCATGTTCCCAGTTAAGTTTGACTTAAAACCCCAATACTTATCTTGTTTAGTTTTTTTTTTCTACTATGTTAAAGTTCTTCTCAGTTAATGCTCGAGGACTGAGGGATATCACTAAAAGAAAAGCTAAAATCCTGGTTGCAAAAAATTGTGGTGCTGATTTTTGTTTATTTCAAGAGACTCATTCCATTTAAAGTGACTATAAACGTTGGAAAGCTCAGTGGGGAGAAGATCTATGGAAGGCCCATAGAACTCACCGTGCAGCAGGTACATTAACTTTGAAGCACAAATTCAATAGCAGCATTATTTCCACCGACCCAGCTGGACACTATATTCTCACAGTTATCAAATGTGATAATTTTTTCTTTCTTATTGGTAACATTTATGGGTACAACAACGCCAAGGATAATATCAGGTTGTTTGAAATTTTAAATTCCAGTTTTGAAGCTTTTATGAAAAAATTTAATGATATTAAGATAATTTTAGGAGATTTCAACATTACTGTGAATGATGAGGTTGACCGATGGCATAGCAAGCAAAGAATAAATTCTCAGATTGTTGACTTTATGAATGAGCAAAGTTTAATAGATATTTGGAGGGTAAATAATCAAAACACAAAAAACTTTACATGGAAAAACAAAGCTGTCTCCCAACACTCAAGAATCGATTTTTGGTTAATTTCTTACTCCTTACAGCACTCTAATTGCAAAGCTGAGATTATTCAAGCACCCCTTACTGATCATAAAGGCACTCTATTAGAAATTTGTATTTATGCTGATATAAGTACTAAAAGATACCCTGCATATTGGAAAATGAATAACTCACTTCTTAATGACAAATTAGTTTATTTAACAATTCAAAACAAAGTTATATAGCACTTCAAATTAGCACAATCTGAAAATAATTATGGACGTTATTGGGAGCTTTTAAAATATGAGTTAAGAAAGATCTTAAGTAAAGCTGGGGCAAATAAAATAAAAAATAGCATAAAGGAGGAAACCTCACTGATCTCGGAGTAGATATCATTATCATTTATTCTTCCTGAAAATCTATCTGAACTACAAAAAGCTAAATTACAAAGCCTTCAGCTTAAACTTGATCAAATTTATATA